GTTTATTATGCATTTCGGCTCCGGACTCGCATATTAACATGTCATTGGGCGCCATATTGGCGAATTCGAATTTCGAATTCCAATTTCAACCTTACGGGGGCGTTATAGTCGTTATTTTGAACTTGAATTCGTATTTGGAACGTTCGAATTCCAATTTGAACCTTACTGGAGCGTTATACCCGTTATTTTATCGGTAATAACGGATCGTTTAGGAAAGTTTTCGATGGAGTGAAATAAAAGAGGGTAGGTTGATTGTTTTAGCAGGTGGTTTTCATTGCATATCTTGACGACTGTTCGATTGATTCCTGGGAGTATTTTGTGGTGATTGAAGCTTCAGTACCTTTTTGTAGTAAAGGGTCCATCCCTTACCAAAAATGTAGGGTATGTTTTCTAAATAAAAGTAATTATACACTAAGTATCCGTGCATTAATCAGGTAGAAAAGTTTGGCAAGTACTCGTACCTTCATTTAGTTAGTCGTGCATTATTGTAAACTGTATATAAAATTGTCAAAATTGCGATAAATAAACACGGTTAGGTCCTGTATATATAGTGTATATGTTAAGCATTTGATACGTCGTTATATTTAAATGTTTGGTTTATGTCATACTTTTCTTATCTACCCTCTAAAAATCGCAACATAACATAAGCATCACTAAGACGTAATAGCCCCAACATATTAATAGAGAAATCCCAACATCAATAATAAAATAATAAAGCGAACGAAAATGTACAGAAAAGACATATTAATTTCGCCGAACCCCCCACATACACCCGTCCCACTCTAACCTATCGCTATATCGTAATGCCGTCTCTTTCACGCCCCCAGCCTTAAGTGTCCGTCCAGATGTTGCGTTTTATTGAAAAAGTCAACGCCATATTGCAAGTTTCAGTGAATTAAGATGTCGGAATAGCTATAGCGTCTATTTGGTCTCGATAATTTGTTTTATTAAAAAAAAAACTATGAAAATAGGCGGTATAGGTCTCAATAAAAAATTGTTTCTACTGAGCACTACTTTTGTTATTCATTAGATACTTGTTTCTTACAGGCTTTATTTAATTACAAAATATTCACCACTCCCCCATTTGTCACTCAGAAATTCTAACTGAGAAAGAAGTTTTCAAAGTATTGAGTTACAAACATACAAAAATCTTTATATTATTAGTATTGTTATTTGTTAGAGCACGAGACCCCGAGGCCGATAGGGTCAGCAGGCTGCCAACAGTCCAGTAATGGAGAGGCACCAAAAGAAGATGTTCAGCCTGAAATATGTAACTTTCCCGGAGTGTAAATTGCGGATATAATAATCTATTGATGCACAGTTCTTTTTACTTTAAGCCAATACCACTTAGTTTCCCTCATTTTATAGAACGAGCAGAAGACTCTGCGTTTTAAGAGTTGGTGCGCTCTTTTCTTGAAGTCACTGAACTATAGATGATGGAAAGCCTAATGGTTTTAATCCGTTTTAGCTTTTAATGACACTAACGCTTATGCTTTTTTATTATTGTTTCAATATGTCAAGTGGAGAATGCTTTTCAACGATAAACAATGTGTCAAAGATTGCAGCTCCTTAAAATTTGTAAACCAAACACTGGCTAAAAAGAGTGGGGGAGAGTTTCTTGCCGCTTGAGTTCTACTTGCTCTAACACCTTGATTTGGGAAGTGATAGTAATTGTAAATTTAAACCTTTTTTTATAATCACGTTTATTAGTGATTTAGGATAATCTCGAGTCTGTTAGAGTTATCATGGCTTATACCCAAAATATCATATAATAAGTATTTCAAAACGATTTATTCATTAATAATAATAATTTATTTGCAAGAATATGGTACAAAAATATTATGGTGGTACAATCTAAAGTTCGCATTTTCTGGCACATTTGGCGTGCAAATTTGTCTTAAAAGGAATTTTCCATAGAAGTTACATACATTATGATGCGTATCATTATAGTAGTAAATTCTTATATAATTCGTAGTTATAAAATATCACATTATTAAAATATATTATTATGTTATCAAATTAATATTAAATATAATGTTTCACGCAAATAATATTGTTTTATAAAAGTAGTACTTTAAGTCGGTTTTAAAAACTCTAGAAAACAGATCTTTTAATGTTTTTGGTAAATTAAAACCTTTATTCTTATTAACATTAATCTTAGCGTGTGCATAATATATATATATATAGTTGTTGCTAAAAACTCTATATAAGAAATTAAAAACTGTTTTTTTCTTCAAAAACAAAATAAATTAGTTAATTACATAGGTTTTCATATATAGTTATTAGGAATATAAAACCTTTTTAATGTTTTAATAAGATAATGGATTTTTAAATGAATAAGACGAAGTTATGATTTACACTTTTGGCATGACGCTGCTAAATACTTTTGAAATAAATAAAGCCTATGGTACTCAGGCATAATATAGAACTTTTACTATTTACATATGTTTCAATTGTCTATATAACTGTAAGTCTTTTACAGTTTTGTTACCTTATCTAATTGTATTTTTTATTTTTTTATATTGCTGTATTGCCCCAACAAAGTGTTAATAAATAAACTATATTTGTGAAATAATTTTGTAAATAAGTAGTTTCCGAGTTTATTTGTTACAATAATTAACGGTTTATAATATAACAGATTTTTAATCGAACTTTTAAAGTAAAGCGCTCAATCTATCGGTTGTCAGAATTCAGATAAGAATACAGTAGGTAAGTGAAATAATAACATAATTCTTAATTGTGTCATTTCATTCGCAAGAATTTTTTTTTTTTTTTTTCGTTTAACTATCAGCTGTCACACTATACTGACGTACGAGTCAACATGACAAGAAAGGTAATGAAGTGTAGTGCACTACAATCTGTGCCTACAAATCACTACGATGTCGTCATGAAACGCCCTAACGAAGTTATTCCGACTAAGCATATATACCTACAAATTCTGGACCTTAGCCACTGGTATCTTTGGGCCATTCAGTGGTCGAGTGATCCTTCCTCCACATTTGTGACTCCATGAAGAACGCGCAACCTTCGTCCACATAGCTGCGACCTCAAATCCCGGGGCGGCGGAAAGCCGCTCAGATTAACAAGATAATATAAAACCCAACATTGTTTTCAGGAATTTCTTTGTTAAAGAATTTTATTTCTGTTATCACCGTGAATCACACAGAAACAACAATATCCCCACGTCATAAAATATATAAAACTACTTTGTTGAATACTACTTAAGTACCTATCGCAATACAGCGAGGAAATACAGCATTAAACACACTGCCAGGGGGACCAAACTATAAAAATTTCTTTTAGTTTTCTATTAACCCATTTTAATTATTATTACTATGTAGATGAAGAATATTGTACCTACATACTCTATAGTTGTGTTATATCTCTATATATTTAAAATTCTCGTGTCAATGTTCGTACCCATACTCCTCCGAAACAGCTCGACCGATTCTTATAAATTTTTTTATGCATATTCAGTAAGTCTATGAATCGGCTACTAACTTTCAAACCCTAAGTGGTGTCCACCCCAAAAATTATTTTTTATTTTTTAGACAATTTTTTTCTGTTTTTATTTTGTTATAATATAGAATACAAAAATACATACAACCCTTAATCATTCCTCTACAATCAACCCCTATTTTTTTTAAAGTAGATACTTATTTTTATTGAATTAAAAAAATGTTTCCTAGAAATAATATATAAATAAGTACATGGCAAAACGACGTTTGCCGGTCAGCTAGTGTTTTAAGAAAATATTGTCCAATTAATGACAGGAAGGTATATTGCACATCCGAGGCTTTAATAATCATAAACGTGTCAATCAATAACTTTACATATCTTTTTAAAAAGTTACTCTATCAGACAACAAACACAAAAGCTTTAATAATCATTACAACAACAAGTCCTCCAGTCGGAAAGCTCATTACTGTCTAAGATATTGCACCAACTGATGTTTGAGTTGTCCAATTGTGACTATGACTGCGTATGTCAAGTAAGTAAGTATTAGAAGTCTCTAGAATATCTCATACTTACAACATACTTTGTCCAAGATGCAGAAGGCAAAAACGACCTACCTATACCTACACATGACAATTGTTGGGCGATTATAAAACTCATACATATAGGTAATCAAGATGAAAGTGTGCGCCTGGTAGATTGCACCGATGACCCCAGAACTGGTGCTTTCCTCGCTCAACGGATAAGTATCGGAATACAGCGAGGAAATGCCAGCATTAAACACACTGCTACAGGGACCAAACTTTATAAATCTGTTTTAATTTTCCATTTTAATATTTATTATTATTTAAATGCAGGTTAAGAATAAACTGTATATTATATACGTTGGATATAAATCTATTTATATATATTATAAAGACGAGTTTTTTTTTAAGTGAAACAATTCACGAATAAAGTTTAATAGGAATTGGAGTGTCAATAGGAATGTTTTTTTTATAAAGTGTCATCTGATGTTAAGTGATAACACCACACATGGAAACTGCGGGTAGGTATATAATAGCCTCTGCAGTGTCCATAGTTTAGTTGGAGGGTATCTAAATGTATTTATTTTGTCTTAATTGGCTGCAATCATAAGACGCGTATACCGTGATACGTTTTTCATTTGTTTTTAGAATGTTGACTTTTAGCGTGATTAACCTTACATTAGTTAAGTTACGTATATACATATTTAATTATTACTTAAAACAAACTGTAAACAATCACTGAAGCCAAAATGAGCCGTATTTAGCCGTACTTATGTTTCCGATAATGTTGTCCAATAGCATAATTGCCAATTAGATTTACGAACTCTTCAATAAGTCAAGTTAGTTTTTTGTTAATCCAGCGTCGCAACCCCACTTCTCCAAATGTTATCTTAGTTAAACGCTCATATTTTAAACAATTAATGCCAGTTGTTACCCAGCTTCAAACAAAGGTTTCATTTAATATATATATCTGAACATATCCAAACAACAAGCGCCACCGTACTTATTCGTGGATTAAACTTAAATCGTCGGTATAATTGTTGATATGTAAATATCATTAATTCTAGGTGGAACATATGACAGTTCAGCTCCGTTTCCAGCAAGAAAAAGAAGAAAGAACTTACCATTGACATTAGTTTTCACCTGGTCTTCCCCAAGTATGGCACTGACACTAAACTTCAAAAGCGGTTTTTTCTGTTCGTTATAATCATCACAACTTTTTACCATGTCCTCAGTCTTTTCTCTAACGTCCTCGTCGGAGTTATCTTGATAATTATTTAAATTGAACCTTTTTTCTAGCTCTTCTAATCGCCTAATGCCCGATTTCTTACAGGAAAACGGCGGGCAGTCGAAGGAACCACAGTGACAGCGGCGATTCAAATTTGGAATATTCAAAACCTCTTTCTCGCGATCTTCATTACGATAATAATCGTTGTAATAGACCTCGTGCTTGACAAAACCTTCGTCGCTTTTAGAATCGTCGTCGTCTACTTTGTCTGCGGTTTCCTCGTTCCTGTCATCGTCTGGTTCAGCCATTTTACTCTCCTCTATTTCTGGTGAATTCTCTCTGGATCTTTCGAAATTGGAACGTTGTAGGAACTCCAATTGGTTCAAGTATTGATTATGTATCACCGATTTTTGTTGATGCAAAATATTGTCAACCAAAAAAGGTGATGACATGTTAAAATTGTTTACATTTGTGTTATTATAGCACAGATTCTGAATAGTTTTCAACATATTTTCCTTTATAAACGGATTTATTTTTAGTCCATGTTTTATATTTTCCGTTGGGTACATTATACACATGAGCTACTCACTTAACTGTCATTGTCTATACGTTCGAAATTCAAATGCGAAGTGATACGTGCGTTCCCTACGAAGGTTGGAGGTGAACTGATTTGAAAGGGAGTGGTTGGTAAAAGGGGCGGGTAGGGGTGGCTTTTTAGCTTTTGTGAATGCAACCAATGTAACATGAACTTTCTATCCCTTCTCTCTCTATAAATGTTGAGGTTGAGAAAAGAAAATAAGAACGATAATAGGGGTCACATAAAATGGTTCACGTGATAAGAACGCCATTTTAAGGTATCGTAAAAATATTGCAATATCGACTTTATTGCTATGTTAATAAGAGTTTGATGGTAATAATGGATTTTATATTTTTAGCCGTATTCATAAGTTAAATAAAGACAGAGATGTTAGTGGAAGGCTCATGATTTTTATTGACTACAGCTTTTAAGGGAGGAACTTATTATGATAGACTTTTCATTTATATATTATTATAATATTGTGTTTGTGACGCTTTCATTCTTGAATATGACTTGGCTAACCTTGTCTAAGTTAACGTTAAGGTACCTATATATGCCCTTATAACTTATAAAAATGTATTTCTTGTTTAAAAAAATTGTTTTGAGTATCTTGTAGGTACTTTATTTATTATAATACCTACTGATAATATTCTTTTCCCAAAAAAGTATATTTTAATTTTAAATACCGACAAACTGTACCTGTCAAGTTTTTAATAATTACATTAATTAATTACCACAACTTACAGAGTCCAAACTAAGACTGACTGAAAAACAGTCTTCGAAGAAAAAGCGTTCCAATTTTGAAATCAGCCACACCCACCTATTGTTATTGGCGGCAGTGTTCAGCTCCAAACGCCGTAACTAGCCCCAATCGTGTATTTTATTTTAGCTTTTACCACAATGGTTTAAAGAATATTATTAGGTTTTTATAGCTTTAAAAAAAGTGGGTAATTGTATGAATTTTATACGTCTGTATTTGAAGGAGATTAATGGTTCGTAGTCTAGAGAAAATTGTTTAAGCTTATGACTTGTTTATTGTTATCGTATTTAAACTCAATGTTATAAGTGCAATACTTTGTTTATTTATATAACGCCAAGAGACCACGAATACAACTGTTAGCTTCTGATTTTGTTGATTATAACTATTTGTTCTACGATATAAATGCAAAATCATTTATTCATTTAGGTAACACAATCTACACTTATGAACCACAATGAAGAAATACATATAAAATACTTCTAATTTTACATTTACTGCCAGTTCTCAAATCACTGACTAGACGGACGAGAACTGGCAATTAACTCTCCGCCACTCTTTTTAATCAAGTTTTTTGTTTTACAAAATGTTTGTAAGGAGCTGCAATCATTACGCCATGTACCACATGTTTAAGTTATTAACTATACTAATAAAATTATATATATACGAAAAAAAAACAATGATTTGTCCTCTATCAGCAGTAGGCATAGTGAAATAGGAGCCCGCACTTACATTCTCGTGGGAACAACACGCATTATCATAATACATTATATCCTTCAAGGAAAGAGCGTAACAATTCATAAAAGCCCATCAACTCGCCAGCCCAGGCATTGAGTGTCCTGTCGTGTCACTTAACATCAGATCAGTCTGTCCGCTTGCCCAATGTTACATACAAAAATTAAATACTCTTGTAATGTCGTATATCTTTGTCCTAATGTATTCCTAATAATTATAATAATAGCCCTTTATATACATTTCAATCCTCATCTAGTAGGTATATCTGTGTGCCCTTTTTTGGCAAAGGCATCCTCCAAATCCCGCTATTCCTCTCTGCGCTGTGCCTGCTGTTTCTTTAATTTGGTCTTCTAACCTTCTAAGTTTTCTCTTTTTCGATTGCTGTACCTTGGGCACTAGTTTAGTAGTCTTTTGTTCCATTTTTCTGTTTCTCTTGCCATTTCTACTTTAGCTTATTTATTGTTATTGTAACATATTGTGTTACCTTAGTTATTTTTCTTAAAGCTCTATTCTTTATTTTGTCTCTTCTCCCCTATCATACATCGTTCCATCGATCGTTGACACACCTGTAGCTTTGTATGCTGCGCTTAAGTAGGCGTAGGTTAGGTATTAGGTACCCTAATCTAAATCTATTTTGATTATTTAATTAATATTTAGAATTAATTTAACTTGTTTTTTGACGTTCATAAGTGTACATTGTGTTACCTATATGAATAAATGATTTTTGACTGTACATTACTCTTCGACAAATCTCAATTCTTTTCTAACTACGACCTTATTATACCTATTAAAAATACATTTCACCCTTTAACTAGTGTTTTGACGTTAACCCTCCACAACTGTGCATAACCAATCGTTAATGTATGCAAAATAAAAAGGGTTGGATAGACCATAAAAAAAGCGTCTAGAGGGCGTTATGATAAAATGGAAAAATACGAAAAAGGCTAATTTGACCTTAGATGCGCAGGCTTCTTTTGTTTATGTTTCCCTACTGAAATGCTAGCGCAAGAATTCCCGTATTGCAGAAATGTATTGTACTTTGACATGTCGCTTGCCCCGGAAAACAAAGTCGTAAAGCACTATTACGACTGCTTTAATGTTTTGTCATTTTTGACTTCCTTGGGTGTGACGTTGTGATGTACTATAACTGTTTACATAATTTTTGTAAAACGTATTATTATAAACACGAGGTTATTTTGTGTACAATGTTAGTAATACTCGTTTACCTAATGTTACTGTTCTGAAAAAGATCGCAACAACCATATACCTAAGTACTTAGTTTTAGTTTAGATTATAATTCTACCAAATAATCACACAAGATAATGCGACAGTTTAAAAACGAATAAAGAGTGGTAATAATATATCTCTGTTTCAGCAACGTGATAATAATTCCACGAAAAAAGTGGTAATAGATTATTACGTTCTAGACATTCGTCTAAATGTGCCGTCGTAATGTGCGGTTACTGTGATGCCCGTAATTATGTTTAAACAGTGAAACAATCGTGAAACGCCTTTGCTCTTTTGTCTCATTAAATAAATTACCTACTGTAATGTACGTTTAGTTATTTTGATTACACTAAATACATTAAACAATATTTAAATGCTTGTCTAGATGCTTGAATTAGGCGATAACACTTTTATGCCTACAAACGCGCAATCACCGAAATCGACCCCAGAAGACTCTAAAATCTAGATAAAACACAATGTAAGTTAAACTAGCGGAAATTAATTTTAATGTAGTACTTTGAAATACCTACCTATATTTTAAACAACAATTGTCCATTATATTAATTCTTCACATGAGGAATAGTGTGATCAGCTTTTAAAACGAATTTATTGTCATCCATTTAAATAATTTACTTACCGCATTTTAAACCATAACGCATTTGAATAATAAATTGAAACGAGCATGAAATCCAAAATGTCAATTTATTTTCATTTAAGATAAAACGTTTGACAAAAACTAATCTAATCTGCGTAACTAATTATGGAATGAAAGCGCAACGAAATAACAAAAGATGGCGGCACGTGCGGTTCCCGCGCTAATGTGTGTCAACTGTCAACCTCATTCGACCATAGATAATACAATTTATTCTTATTTTATTACGAAAATACATGTAGTACTATACTATTAAAGTATTAACCTTTTCCAAAACATTATTTTATACAACCTAAGTCTAAGTAATACCTAAAATAAAATATTTCTATCGCTGTTCATGTCGCGTAAGACGGAGCTTCTGGGTTTTTTTTAACCCGGATGATACAATAATTTCTTAGGGTAACCGGCAAAGGCTTACAAGTTGCCTTAAATAATGGAATTATCAACAACGACCACGTTTTTCTTTGTAAAGAGACATCTCGTAATGGGTAGAGCTTAAATTTCATTCAGAAAAAGTTAACAAGTGACATCTAGCGAGGAATAGTAAATGGTGATATAGTTGATAGGATTAATAAACATTAATAAAAGTGACATCTATTTGTGTAATTTGAAGGCGATTTAAAACGTGTTGTTTAGCACACATTAATTTACTATTAACTATATTTATCTATATTTCTATTAAATTTGACTACATACAGTTGTAATCACTACTTTAAAATAATTTAGGGTTATATTTTGTTACTCCATAGACAACCATAGGTTATAGAATCAAAGCATGGAAGCTGTTTATTCAAAAAACGTCCTGCAGCCAATAGGATTCAAATATTTTTTTTACCGGTCGAATACTTAACTGTAATTGGTCGACCAATCAAACAGGTGCTATGCGTCATCCGCCATAACGTTTGAGAAAAGAGATTTGTAAATTGTGAAAGTGAGCTTTTGTTTGACTGTGAAAATAACGTAATTTTATATGATTGTGACTAGAAAAGTGTATTTACCAAGTGTTTGAAAATGAGTGAGAGTTACAGAATGAAGACTGGATATAATCATTCAGAACTATCAGTGGAAACATCTAGTGACATGTCAGATTCTTTCAATATGTTTTCGAGCAATTTAAGTCCTATACCACCAACGTTATTAATGCCTAGGAAATTGGATTTTAACAGTTTGGACGATGATGATTGTGGCAGGAAAGCTTCAACAGCACCAATGTCTTTCAGCCCACCTTATAAGCGAGTTGGTGCCTTGACGTAAGTAGAACATGTCTCGTTTTGTATTCCTCCCGTAAAATACCATATTCCACGGGCCCAACTTCTCTTGTAGATCTGTGTAGCCTTAATAATCATGAACTTGTTATGACGATCTGAATTATTGGTACCTTAATAAATAACAATACTTGAATCAGTGCTACAGCAGTAGGTATATGTAGGTATTTAAATCAAAGTATGCTTGTTTGCCAATGCGTTTTAACCAGCTTACCTTAAAACTCCTTATTTTGACACTAATAAGCATATGAATGGCTTGGAAGGTTGATTAAATTATACCATATATGCCATTCACCACAATCTTGCTAAGTTGTGTAGGTTGCTTTATATGTTGTTGCTTTATACCTCTGCTGAGTGTGCCTAAAAATTGCCTAGATTCCAGAAAATGACACTTTTTTTTTGTTCAGACAAAAAAATAGCATTACTTATTATGGGTTGTTATATTTGTCATGTTAACATCCATGATGTTTTTAAAATTAAGAACTTTCTAGAAGTGATATATCAATAGTAAACGGACATGAGAGGTCCCATTTTTCATTAGACGGCCATGTATAAAACAACTTAACCCATTACTAGGATTTAAGTAAGTCCTATAATTTTTGCAACAATAGCTACTTAAAATAAAATCTTACTAAGTACTGTAGTCATGCCAAACTCTGCAAGGAGTAAGTTAAAACATGGAACACCTATCCGTGTTTCATTTCTGACCGAATTCTGGCTTTTGAATCTGTTGTCTGCTGCTTAACTGCTGTCAGGATTCTTAACATATTTGACCATAAAACTAGCAGTCTTCTTTTATAAACCTACTATTCAAAATATATTCATTAGCTAGACTCATACCTAATGAATATTTTGTTTGTCAGGTTTGTCTGAAACATAAATTACCATAACAAAACATCCTATAGCTATTGCTGGCCATAAACAATATCATAAATATGTAAGAAATATGCAAACTATATACAAGACTTTCTCTTATTGTGAGATAAGAAAGTAACTGTTTCAGACAGCAAAACACATTTATTATATTCATTTAAAAATGGGACATCACATGCTTGTTTACTAGTGATGTGATGTTATTTCTAGAAACTTTTTAACTTTAAAAACTACATGAATCTGAACATGACTAAAATAAGAACAGATAATACTGAATACAAATAAGGAGTGTATGTATTATAAGTACCTTTCTTGTTTATGCCTAATTATAGGTGTCCTACAACAGGTTAGGCACATATCACGCTATTACAACCAAAGCTAACATTGAAATAGTAATAATATTTTTGCCAGTTGTTTAAAGTAAAAATTTTGTTTCAATATTGACTTTTTCTGTATTAGATAAGAGTTCCCCATAAAGCCTATGTCTAAAATTCTCTCAAACTTTTGCTAGGATGCTTATAATTTTTATGATTTGATTGTAATTTTCCATATTTACATTTAAAACTTGTAATTGATACTTACATATACATCTAGTGGCACTATCTATGGCTATTTATTCAGAAAGTAAACTTAATATCAAATCTAATTTCTGTAAATGTATTGGAATTTCACATACAAGTCATAGTTTGCACTATGTTATGTTTTTTAATCACCATAAGACCCCTTATGCATCTGTTTCGTTTGAATAATTTTTAAAAGATATGCCAGAGAGATCAGCCATTTTTGAATGCATTTAAATACATACCTTAGAGTTCATGATTACCACTATGCTAACACTGGTGAAGAGTAATAATCTTAACTATTGGCATAACTCAAGTGTTTAACCGCTGTGATTAATATGTTATCAATCTTATCCTTTACCTATTTCAAACTTACTCTCTGCTTTACATATACTTTATGTAGCGATAACCAGTTAACCTTGAATTCGTTTTCTCTTTCCAAAGTAAACCGTGACATGACCAGTTGGTTTGTATAAGTTAAATAATTCAATACACACATTTATTCATTCAGTACACTAGTTTGTTAACCTAAGTGGAAATATGTGTTAATATCCATGTATTCATGTGAGACTCTACCCTACCTGGGCGCTTCTTAACCTGCCCAAAGACCCACTTAAAACATTACAATAATATCCTTCATAGTTTTACCAACTTGGCAAGCATTTGCCAGAAACCTCTTTAGTATGTGAGATACAAGTTCACTAAGAAACAAATTACAAAACTTGATTTATTTGTTCTGGCCTTAATTGGCAATTGTCTACAGTTCTCAATTTGTCTGATGGTCTCTAAATAAGTGTGTCTTTATATTAATGTAAAACACTATGTAGTTGTATAGAAACACAATTATTTCAATTAAATTAATTTTGAATTGGAAGGATCTACAATGACATTGTATAATGATAACATAAGACAAATATAAGCCCCATGCTCTATTGTGAGATCATAATCACATTTCTATTTACGTATGACTTTTTATTTTCTAAACTTATTAGCTACTGGGGTAGAAGCATTCCTTTCGTGTAATAATAATAATCTGCTGACAAAGTTTTGTTTATGGGTTGTTGGTTGATTGAAATTTGAATTGAATTTTCGTCCTGGATGTAAGGAAAATCGTATACGTGAATTCTTCCCACGCACAAAATGTCGTTGGAAATCGGTTAAATAACAGTTATAATGAAACATATGATGAAACAGCTGACATCTGCCCATACTCCTACGATTTTGGCACAAAAAATACGATATAATGGGAGCACCTTTAAAAAAACCTGTACAGAATCTGCACCTTGGCACAAGGTGCATATGATTTCTTTTCGCCTAAATATACAAAAAAATCGAGCGCTATTATTGTTACTACAACGGATTTTATAAGTGATTCAAAGGAACATATTCTTTATGTGTATGTTTGTATGGACTATTTCTCGTTTTTATATTATTCTTACCTGTTGACAACGTTTATCATTGTGCTCAGATTTTTTCAACCTCAGGTGTTTCCTAAGTTAAATTTGCATTTTATTACCTAATTTTATGATGACTAACAATTCGTTATCGATAAAAAGAAATATAAATTTAGCTCTGTTTTCTAATTACGAAAATAGTTTTTTTTATAAATTAGATAACATTATATATCCTATTTCGAACTATACGCTTTAGTTTTGCTTATTTTTTTAAAAATAAGTTTACGTATGGATAACGTATACGTTATTAAAGGGCGATTTATAAAAAAAAACTGGTGGAGTTACTTGCCAGTCAAAAAGTCGTGGATCAAACGCAAATAGGGGATAGATGAGGTCATCAGCTGCAAAAAATTGTTTTACGGGAGGTCTCTAAGCTCAACCCCTGCAGAGTTATAATTTATTTTGCGTTTTTATAACAAAATTGACTTTTTTGACTAATTCTTATTAAAATTCGAAAAAATTTACATCCTGTATCTTTTTCTTAATATCCACTAGATTGGTACTGATGAGTTCTTGCGTTAGACATACTATTTATAGTCGTTTATTGAGTGTATTGAAGATAATATTAAGTTATACGATATATTTTTTTTTTTAAATCATAACTTTTTGTTAACTTCGGACCACAATGTGAAAAAAAATTACTCTACCGAAAAGTGTATTACAAGTTGTGGCGCATTTAATAGGGATTCTGAAAAGGTATTACACATGGCCATACGCCATACATACGAAATTCCATTGGTGCACCGCCGGGGATCGAACCCACGACCTCAGGGATGAGAATCGCCACTAGTCCAACACGACCCTGGATAACTGGAATAACAATGGCTACAATATATAGGTACTAAAAGTATAATTTTTAATGTTTCAGACTATTCGACAGTCCGCGCACTCCGAAGACCTTACTCGAGAAATGTTCAACACCATCTATTAATCGATCTAGGATTCGTTTGTTCCCACCGAAACTTGAGATTCCGGCGGGTAAGTTCTAGAAATTTCGTGTGACGTCAATTTTATTTATTTCCTCTTGTCTGCAGTCTGAGTTTTGTATTATTAAGCTAAGATCTGATAATCCAGTAATATCCTGAAACTCATACAGAAATATCAACACTTTATGGGATTATGGGGCTAATGGCCCCTATGAATTACCTATCTACTTTTCTCCATTGACATCTCGAAAAAGAGTTGCCAACATACAAATCCAAGCTAGCGCTTTTAAATCGATTTTCCTTTCGTTTTTATAATCAATTATTTTTATCTTTTTATGTTTGTTATGTTGGCCTATAAGAACTTGTCACAATTAATACTGTATTTTATTTTTCTTGTACCAATGTATCATTGTGCTGAGCGTTGGCCAGGTATAAATAAATAAATTACATTCGTGCAGTATTAACGATATATGTATGTTGTCTGCAGGCATGCCGTCTGGCTCCAGCCATCACCTTCATCCACCATCTAATCAGCCAGCTATGGATGAAGACAGTGCCTTTATAAGCATAGCCCCTGAGGATATTGAGGAACCAAAGCCTCGGAAACAACCTTTGGTCAACATTAATCCTTTTACACCCGATGGTAAGGGATATTTATTATTAGTTGCATACCAAAAGTAGTCCTATGTTTATGTGATTGAGTCTCAAAAACTTCAGGTTTCAGTTACCTTGGCTGCTGAAATTTGATGACCTTACAATGGAGACCAAAAAAATTATAAATTTATAAAAACCCGAAATCTGAAAGTATTTCTACTGAATAATTTTTACAAAATGCCTTTGTGTCTGTATGTGGTTAAGGCTTTGATTGAATGTGTGTATCAAATGCTTTATTGAAAAGTAATAGATCTTGATTTAAAGCAAGGAAACGATAATATGTATGACATACAATTTTTAGGTCAAGCGATGAACAAGAAGAAACGAGCCTTGTCTAAAACTCCTAATGCTGATTCAACACCTGAGAATCCAGCGAAAAGGCTAAGGGTATGTATTACCAATAATAATATCTTAGGTTCACACACAGATATGTGTCTGTTTCAGTTTTTTTCGTTACACAAGCAAACAAAATGGATACATTAAAATTAGTAAGTATGAGTATAAAACAGATGTTCAACAGTAATGTATTAACTTAAACATAAAGTACATTTTATAGACAGCAAAAATAATACAATACACAGATTAAAAATTTAGGGCCATTGTTCTATAATGTCATCAAACTTTAATCTAGTTTCATGAGCTGTTAACCCATTTTTTTTGTATGAAGTTTGACACATTTGGGGCCGTTCAAGTATTACGTAAGCAGATTAACTGCAATTTACCCCTCTCCCCCCTTCCTCTTGTCAGCAAAAGTAAGCAAAACAAAAATAATAGTACATAAATCTATTAATTTTTTGTAGGAATCCTCGAAAATGCATTTCAATTTCAAGCATAGACAATGTCGGGGTAATATATGTAAGAAAAAAGTACAAAGTACACATGTCAGAAGTGAAACTTCTTTGGCAAACTAATTTTTTAATCTTGTTCATATTTATTCAAATCCAAAACTTTAGATTTCCGAGACTTAGAGGGCGGGAAAAAATAAGATATGTTAGGAATTTTATTGTCACTTATAATACCACAAGAGCTTCAAAATTATCGGGTATTTCCCGATAGGTTCGTTGCAAACAAATGAAGTGGAGTCGTGATTTTGAAGCTGGTGTGGTATTCGGGGGATTATTTTTCCGACCCAAATGTCGGCCAATAGAATTGCACCATGAGACGAAATGTACAGTTAACAAATAAGAATTTCATAATGAATAAAACAACTACTTAATACTTTTCTTGAAGCAACTACCTGAGAAAATTTTCAAAAAATTATCAGTATAATACCATGTAGGTTGTACCACGTGACGTCGAATGGTGCAATTCTATTGGTCGATATTTGGGTCGGAAAAATAATCATTAAAATACTAATAATAAATTTAATTTATTTCTTCGATAATAAAAACACGTGGCATTTTAATTTACAATTCGTCATTTGAGATGTCAATAAATTATTTTGCATAAAATATAAAATACTAATATTTCTTAAGTTTTCTTTACGGAATTTTAATTTTAAAAATAGAATCGCCCTTCTCACTCTCTCTCAATCGCTCTCGACAAAAACGCTGCACATCTTCGTGACGTTCCGTATGCGCCTAAAGAAGTTTCACTTCAAAAATAAATAATTGTTGACGTAATCACCAAATAAGAAAATCAAAGACCCCCTCCCCCCATAGTGCTTACGTAATACTTGAACTACCCTTTTGACAGTCCCCAAGACGAGATTGTGACTTGTTGATTTTATTGACTTAATCCCCAGGAATCGAACATATCCCGCTACAACGTGGAGTTCCAAGAGCTAGGAGTGATCGGATGCGGCTCTTTCGGTCGCGTGACCAAATGCCTGAACAAGTTGGACGGGTGCGTGTACGCACTGAAACGCTCGCTGCGTCCGGTCGCGGGCTCGTACGCCGAGAGGGCGGCCATCACAGAGGTGTATGCGCACGCTGCGCTTGGGAAGCATCCGCACGTTGTCAGGTATGTTTACACTTTCACTAACCATCATATCACTGGAATGCTTGTCAAAGTATTGTAAAGTTTATGGAATAGACTGGCTGCCCCCTAGGGATTACCAGTGTGGGGGCTGATGTTCCCTTGTTCTAGATGTTTTACACTTGTTCTAATTTTTTTAAAGAAAATAATGTTCTGTCGAGTGGAACAAAACTGTGATATGTCTACTTATGTGAACCTAGAATAGATAAAGATTAGAAATAACTCTTACGCATTTTTTTAAATAAATTATTTTTATTTAATATTGTTTAGTTTTTTTTCAGTAGAGTATTTTTTAAAGAACACAATACTATGTATATTTTTTAATGTTAGTAATAAGATTAGGCTTCCTGTATAACTTTTAGATTAGTTATCGCATAATCCTAATTTTCAACTAATAATTATAATTCTATTTACTATAGATATTACTCGGCCTGGGCAGAGGATGATCATATGATCATTCAGAACGAATACTGCGATGGTGGTTCCCTACAACAGAAAATGGAACATGGGCCGCTACCCGAAAGTGAATTGTTGCTGCTATTGGCCCATATCAGTGATGGATTGTCGTAAGTGTTATACAGTAATCTGTCTATAACACGGAGATTTCTCAAGTTATATTTCTGTAATATGAAATTTATAATGATTTGTCAAGTTCATAATTAGTTTCAATTGTGTTGTTATAAAATTAAACTATACTCTGATTTTTAATTCTGACATTTCATAAATGTTACTACTAAAAAAAGTTCTCCACCGAAAAAGGGACAAATTTGACCCTATTAAAAACAAAATATTTTAACAAATTTGCCCAAACAAAACAATGTTCGAAGGTTGAACTCTTAAAAAGTGTTTTATCATTTTTTAAAGTATTTTCTAGAAGGTTTTATATGTTTTAATGTATTTAACGTAAATTTATATTATTTCAGATACATTCACTCAATGCACCTTGTACACATGGACATAAAGCCTGGAAATATATTCATTTGTCGAGAGGAAGTGACGTCACACACTGATTCAGATGACGGATATGACGATGATGATGCGCCGAATAGACCAGGCAGACATAAATATAAGATTGGTAAGTTTTGATATATGGAATTATTTTTTATGTTATACTCCACAGTTTATTGGGTATGTATGAGAGATATGGTGGGTGTGTGAAAGAAAAAGACATGTGCTTGTGATTTTTACAAACAACATGTCGGCCCAACATTGAGCTTTTAAAGTTTTTAATAAAGAAAAATTAATACATATATATATATTGCATGTTAATTCTCTGGGCTACAGTTGTCCAAATGAATAAGTTATTTTCTATTAAAAATTAGTAAAGTAGTAAGAATAACATACATTTGTATTTTAAACGAAATTTAATAATTGTGTCTAAGGTATTCAAAAACGCCAAATTTGCAACTACTGTCAAGAGCTATTTTTTCTATACCAGACATTTTAAACAGCTCTAGAAGATTCCTAATTTAATAAAATGTGCTCAATGTACAATGCACACCATATGTATTATATATATTATTGCTTACCTTATCTAATTTAGTACATTTTTTCATAGTGGTTGCCATTTTTTTTTATTCGAGGTGGAAATACATTTGCGCATCCTGTCCTCAAAAGTTGCGATGATGGGACTCGACCCACGCCAAAATCTCTGCTAACGAAGTGTTAATATAAAAAAAAAAAAAACGTGTGTGTACTTACGTAACAAGATAAAAATCTTTTCAAAAATTGTATTCTACGTTTGTAGGAAAAACGACACTAACATTAGAAAAACTAATGTTGACTATAACTAACTTCAGGGTGTCGGTTTTTTGTGACGGGGTGCGCGCGCTTCGTAAAATTTACTCTCATCATTTTTCCCTAACGCCCCATTAGAAGTATAACTTCAATAAAAAAACGTATTGCACTCGGGGACTGCCGCGGTAAAGCTATTGCATATTTTTTTTTTCAACTTATGCAATTATAATTATTTATTTATGCAGTATTTTTTATTTCTTTGATATTAATTCAAGTTTTTTCTTTGATAAATTAATTCAATCTACCACTCTACCAGACTCAGACTAACTCGCCTATATAGTCTGTCTCACTCTAACGCGCACCGGTTGCAGCAAGAGAGATGTGAATACGCAGTATGCATTCTGTCCCGCTCTAACGCGTAACGTTTTTTTCGTTACGGAATTTCTGGATTCGGTCTCCACGCTCGAGGCCCGCGATAGAAGCTATGCAATAGCTTATTAAATAAACTTTTTCTAGGTGACTTAGGACATGTGACGTGTATATCATCACCGTCGGTGGAAGAGGGCGATTGCAGATACTTGCCCAAGGAAATACTACAAGAGAACTTTAATCACCTCCCCAAGGCCGATATATTTGCTTTTGGTAAGTTCCTTAGATCCAGCATTGGTATTCTGCAATTTCTTATATCGAATCCTTATGATCTTATGAAATATAGTAGAATAATACCGTTATTTAAATCGGGTAGTGCATCTGACCCTACTAATTATAGACCTATTTCAGTGCTACCTACCTTTAGTAAAATTTTTGAAAGGGTTATTTTAGATCAACTGCAAAGATTTTTTAATAAACATAAATTATTACATAACAAACAGTTTGGTTTTACAAGGGGTCGTTCGACCACTGATGCCGGTGTTGAACTTTTAGGCCATGTTTATAATGCATGGGAGGATAAATGCGATGTTTTGGGCATCGGGGCCCCCATATAGATAAATTGTCGAAAAAGCTTAGCGCTGCAGCATACGCCGTTAGGAAAATTCGTGATTTAACTTGTTTAGAGACAGCCCGTTTAGTTTACTTTAGTTATTTTCATAGTGTGATGTCGTACGGTATTCTGTTGTGGGGAAATGCCGCCGATATTCAGACAATTTTTGTTTTACAAAAAAGGGCTATTCGTTCAATTTACAAATTAAGTCCCAGACACTCCGAGATAAATTTAAAGAAATTAATATAATGACTGTGCCTTCTCAGTATATCTATGAAAATCTTTTGTATGCTCATAAAAATATCAATTTGTTTAAAAAATTCAGTGACGTCCATAACGTAAATTCTAGAAACAAACACAAATTTGTTGTCCCTACAACCAGGCTTAAAAAAAATAAGTGGTTCGTTTAGATGTCAATGTATACGTATTTATAATAAACTACCTAGCCACATTCAAGAACTAAGCCTTAATAAATTCAAAAATAGTATAAAGCGGAAACTTTGTCAGAAAGCCTTTTATACTGTCAAAGACTATATTGAGGACAAAAAGGCTTGGGATTGAGCTGCTCCAATAAATTTGCACAATTAATGTTGATTTAAATACCTTTTTACATACTCTATGTACAATTAAATGAATATTTACTTTGTAAAGTATTATTTATACAATTTTGTATTATTGTGAATGTGAAGACTACGTGGATCATTGTTTTTTATTTATTGAATCCTTTTCTCAGTTTTAGTCATAGTCTGACAGTTTGAGTAATTTTCGCGGCCTACCCAAATGTCTTGTCTTTGGACTTGACAGGTCCACTCAATCTGTGTGGTTCTTTCCTCAAAAGACCATTTCAGACAACAATCTACATGGTCTTCACATAATCTTGTTAGTTATGTCTGGACTTTAAAAGAGACTGTGACCTCTGAGTTTGTTTCGGCGTTTCTTCTCAGAGTAGTCAGATAGGAAACGTCGATCTCATCTAGTTTTAAAAAAAAAAAATGTTTGACGTGTAAAAGTGTTTGTAAAAACCTACTTACAGAAATAAATCATTTATCATTTATCCTTAAATATAGATTGAAAGAGAATAAATCTAAGTTACTGCTGGTATATATCCCTAGCAGCCGCGTTTCAGGTTAGATCTCGTTACAAATGTAAATCCTTATTCATATAAAGAGTGCGTACGTACAAGGTACATGTCAGAAGTGAAACTTCTTTGGCAAACTAATTTTCAAGTCTCGTTCATATTATAATAAAATCTAAAACTTTAGATTTCCGAGACTTAGAGGGAGGAAAAAAGGAAGATAGGTTAGGAATTTAATGAATTTATTTCTTCGATAATAAAAACACGTGGTTTTTAATTAACAATTTGTCATTTGAGATTTCAATAAATTATTTTGCATAAAATATAAAATACTAATAATTCATAAATTCTCTTTACGAAGTTTTAATTTTAAGAATAGAATTTCTATAGCGTAATTCACCCTTCTCACTCTCTCTCAATCGCTCTCCCTTTTCTTCGACAAAAACGCTGCACATCTTCGTGACGTTCTGTAAAAATTCCACCCATGCGCCTAAAGAAGTTTCACTTCAAAAATTTATCGGGCAATATTTTTAGTTATGATTTTTTTGATACAGATTAAAATATAGGCTAAATAATTAAATGTTTTTTAATTCGCAGGTCTAACCCTGTTCGAAGCGGCAGGTGGTAGTGCCTTACCCAAAAATGGACAAGAATGGCACGATATCAGAGATGGTAAATTACCAGATTTACCTAAAGTGTCTCGGGAATTCAATGAATTATTGAAGGTAAGTTTTATAGAAATATTCAAGCTCAAAATAACTTTATTCATATAGGAAAACAAGTACACTTATGAACGTCAACAGAAAAGATGTTAAATTGATTCTAAATTTACAAGTCAAGGCGTACAGCGGGCAAGAAGAACTGGCAAGAAACTCTCCGCCACTCTTTTTAATCGCCAAGTTTTTTGTTTTACGCAACGGAGCTGCAACCATTTGTGTTCATCGCATATAAACACAATTTGACTGAAAGAGAACTGTATCTACTAACATCATTTTCTTTTTCTTCAGAAAATGGTGGATCCGAACCCCTTAAATCGTCCCACAGCGGCCCGTTTGCGTCGTCACTCTCTTCTCCACTCGTCCAGCAACAAGAGTAAAGAGCAGTTGCGTAGGGAGTTGGCTGAGGCGAAACTCAAGAACGAGCTGCTCAATAGCCAGCTCGAGCAGGCTGCGAGGTAATTTCTTCTAGCAGGGATTTTATATAAAAGTCGCTTGACACGACACTATTTTAATGCTGGGTGCATCCCGTCTAAAAAAAATTATTTAGTTATTTGGTTAAATTACAATGTAAACTAAAACTATCTTTATGGTTGTTGCGATCTTTTTGAGGAAATTAAATTTATGTAAAGGAGTATTGCCAACATTGTGCACAAAATAATTTCTGTATAATAAAGATATCCTCGTGGGTTTTATAATAAAACTAGCTGACCCGGCAAACGTTGTTTTGCCATGTATATTATTTCTAGGAAACATTTTTTTAGTTCAATAAAAATAACTGTACTATAATAAGAAATACGGGTTGTTCGTAGAGGGTAGATGAAAATTTAGGCTTGTATGTAATTTTGTATGCTGTATCATAAAAAAAGTAGATTCAAGCGATTAGGAAATTAAACAAAGTATGAAAGTACCGACTGCAGCGCCATCTGTCGGGCTGATTTGTGAATCTAAACCATCCAGTGCGCCACCCAAACACACACAAAAATAATTTAAATCGGTCCAGCCGTTTAAGAATAGTTCAGTGACATACACACGTACAGTAGAATCTTGTAATATATAAAATTCTCTTGTCCGGTCCACCCCTATTTGAGTTTTGTTTGTTTTTATTTTTATGATACAGCATACAAAAATATATCTAACCATTAATATTCACCCCTCTACTATCAACCACAATTTTATATTATATAGTAGATAGTTATTTTTATTGAACTTCAAAAATGATTCCTAGAAATAATATACATGGAAAGCAACGTTTGCCGGGTCAGCTAGTTATATATATAAAGATGTACAGAATAGTAAACATACATTTATTTCTTCCAGATGCATAAAATCTCTAACACCGAACTTGCAAAGTCAAGAATCGGCTAAATTCCGCACGCGAGCCTCGAAACGCTTACACACACGTGCCGAGAATATTGATGACGTCATCCGGTCTGTGACGTCACCGTTTCTCAACCGGATATTACCACCTAAGAATACCCGGGAAACAAGGTAACTATTTGTTTGTTGTATGGGATTGGAATGGAGATTTTTGGGTTTAAGATTTTTATTTCTCATTAAGAATATACAATAGGAAATATACTAATACAATAATATGTTACGCTTATTAATTAATTGTATATAACAATAAAGAAACGGAACTTATTAGATAAAAAATCAAATTTTACAGTAACACAACACAAAGAAGAAAACAAGATAAATAATACAAGGAAACCATAAATAAAATAGTTTAACAAATAATACATACATGATTTAAAAGAATAACGATATAGCATAGTTTACCGAAAATTTGTCGACAAACATAATATACAGAAATTTAGTATGTGTGCAAGTCTAATTATCAAATAAATATTACGATTAATGTTTTTAAAGTTGCCAATTTTTTTCTTTTTCTTTAAGTTGTGAACAATTTCTTTTTTGGTTGGTATCACATTTTTTTAAAGATGTTATCAACTTTTAAGTTGGCAACATACTTTTTTTTTAAATGTTCACAACTTTATATTTGTTGCCAACATTCTTTTTTTTTAAGTTCTTAACAACTTGTTTTTTTAAGTTGGCAACATTTACTTTGTTTAACAATATTTTTTAGTAGATATGTTAAAAATAGAAATATTTCCTTTCAGATGTATAAAATCGTTAACACCCAGCCAAGACACGAACTTCCGCACTCGTGCCTCCAAACGATTGCAACCCCGAGGGGCTGACATCGAAGATATTCGGACAGTGACGTCACCAAGACGGTTATGCGGTACCGTAGCGGCCAGAAAACAGGGTAAAAAGATATAAGATCAAATATTGTTTTAAAGTATATTTCAAAATGTATAAATGTTTAGTATATAAGGACTATTTCAAGTATCAAAATTAGTTTTTCCAATTGTAAAGACGTCACATACGGGTGGTGGTCTATTCTAATTCGTATCTGAAGTCGTAATCTCGTCTTGAGTGCTGTCATACAGAAAACATGCTTTGTCAGCCCTTGAAGCTAGATTTAAGTTGATGGAACGTTCTAGAATACTGGCCTGGCTAAAATATTAAAGAATCATAATTTCTGTTTTTAAGCACATCTGAGATTATATATTAATATAATTAATTAAAAGCAATGTAATATTTATATTACAATGCTCTGTGCATTATCAAAATATTTTAAAAAATAATTAATAAATATTACCCAAAGTATCAAAACCTTAATGTGACGTCCCAAGCAAGATTCCAAGTATTACAATAAATAGCAGGTGATTTTTATTAATAGCTATTTTCACTGCTATACATTTGAAATACATAAATGTTTGGCTTATATTTGAAATAGATGGCAATTTGCAAACGACGCTTTATAAACACTGTTTATAAATGATCTACAGAGTGGACAAGGATCGTAGGCTGGAATACACCAGTGAACCTGGCGTTGGAACCCCGGGCTTCATATTTTTTGTATCTGTTATTATTGGGGTGGATTCAAACGCACAGCTTAGGGTTTAGACTGCTACAATAGACAAAAGGTTCCGAAAATAAACTTTTTTAAATTTTAAATTGGAAATTCGCCTTGATGCATTTATTTATTGGTAAGTGTTTTGTGGTTTATATATATATGTATATGTATATATATATATCCACACTACATTTTTTCATTTGTTTTTATTTTTTATTAACTCCGTGACTGCTAGGGAAGTGGGCATGAGAATGTCAGATCAGAGAGTAACTCGTGTCAATCACTTTGAATTACAATAAGAAGTATTCAGGGCAATGATTATTTTGCATCGTGATAAATAAAGGCATGGACATTTCCCAAGTCGGATATCTGATCGGATCTGGTTTAAATATAGCACTGTTTTTCTAAAATCTTGCATAGATTATAGAGAAATATGGACGATTTCTTGCGAAAAATGGAGCCTAAATAATTTAATTTTGCCAATTAAAAAAAAAATATATTTATTTTAGTTTTTATTGACATTTAAAAATAATATAATTATTATTAATTTTTTTTGACGATGCTTATCCACTCTGTATATAAAATACCGATTAGAGTAATGGGAAGATAACTTAATATTGAAATAATAAGTTATTCTACTACACAATTTCAAGTTTGCGCCATAACTTGTCCTTAGATGACATCGATACCGGTTTTCAGAGTCGCCCTACTATTAGTAGTAACGAAAAAAACCGGTTATTTTGTGGGTTATATATATTTACATATAATATCCGTCTGGTTACGTCAATTTATAATATAGTAATATAATATAGTGAATAATTAAAAAATATGGGAAGTTTTCCAACGTTGAATAAGACGGATTTTAATAAGGTTTTTTATGATGCCCGTTTCGTTGCAAGCCACGTTTTTAGACAGCTCTTGATAGAAGATTTTAGATTGGCCTGAATACGGTTATTCAGTATAATCGTCGTTTTCAGAAAGTTCTTATGGTTTGAACCATACATAAAACCAATAAAAATTCTATACAGGATTATTACAGAATAAAATCCTGAAGGGGTCGATTCTATCAGACTACAGGTCGAAAAATCGTGTCACGGCAAATGTGACGCTAACACAAGGCCCTAAGCAAAAGCTCTTAAAGCATTTTATTTATTTCGGCGAAATCTTCATTGCAATTGGTCAAATTATGGCCAATCAGAAACCGTTTTTTACTTAAGTATTTTTACGTACAATGAAATGTATTCTATACGTTTAAAGAAACTAACTCGAATATAACAACTATTTTAACCTTGCAACACAAAGTTGTTTTAGTAAAGGCAGAATTAATCTGGCTTTAAATTTCGTTCGTTAATATCTAATTATTCTACCATAGTTTAATGGACTCGTGTATGATGAATCCAAACCTCAGTAACCCCACCATGTTTAACCCACCTTTTACCGGTAATTACCGATACGGTAACTAAATACCAGAACCGGTTATTTACAAATATAATAAATCTATCGTTCTTATTAAAACTAAGTCAGTAGAATTGCACTTTTTTAGTTTACTAAAAAGATCACCTGTCTCTTCTTCACAACACAATGTAAACCCCTGTTTGATTGGGTTGAAAGGGACAGAAGAGTTAAAACACTGCAATGAAACCGATTTATTTTTTATAAATGTTTATTTAAAAATAATATTATAAGTACAGTAAACCCCCCTATAACGCGGATGACTCGCGTTGTACGAGTATTCTCGTAAAAACTGTTTATGAACAATTTAATAACTCGGAACACGAATTTAATAAAGTTATTTAGTTTAATTTTATAACAACACAATTATGGACTTGATAAATCATTATAAATTCCACACTACAGAATTGATATGGGCGAAGGAAAACGCGTTATAGGGGTATTACTGTGTATTGTCGCACAAGGTTGAACAAAGTTGTCAACTAGTTATATTGAATATTAATTAATATAGTTCGTTATTACGTATCTACAATAAGTGTGCCTTAATTAATCCTGTATCTAAGAACTATTAAATACGTCTGCAAATATAATTTTTGAAATTGAAATGTATAAGGGAGCGTTCAAGTATTACGTAACGAATTTTGGGAGGGGGGTTCCTCTTGTAAAACGCTACGATGGGGATTAAATTACGCGTTATTGTTAATATTATTTTCGACTTTCCAGTACTTTACACCACATAATGGTAACTTTTAGGTATAAAGAGTCACTGCGTGGTCACGAAACGTTTTACTATTGGGTAAAGAAAAACGTTACGGCGCGTTACATGGGGGGGTCAAAAATCTCCGAAAATTGCGTGACGTAATATTTGAACGCTCCCTAAGTGGCTGTTACTAGTTACAAATAAAATTAATTAAAAAATCTTAACGTTGAAAATTAAATAGGAATCGTACAAAAAATCGGTGCTTTTCACATTAGTTACCTGGCTGAATGAATTAAAATGTGAATTGTCTAAATACAGCCAAGGAAGGCGTGGAAATGTACATGTCCCAAATGAAGATCAAATACCTTTACGAGAATTAAGCTAGCAAGATCTTGTGATAGTTCCTTACGACTCAAAGTCTTTGACATAATCTTCCATTTCAACATTTTTGTGATAAATTTTAGATTAGTTAGCTAAGATGTCTTAGTGTCCCGAAAGCTTCGAATATCGTATATTAACTATATTACATATACAGAAAGTATGAAGGTAAAATTCAAAAGTAGCTGATAACTTTTATGGAATGTTCACAAATACATAACTGGCGCCCTAATAATACATCTTTTTAAATATATAATATAGGTATTCTCTCGACCTATAGGTATCAGTATTTTAGTTTAAAAATAACTAAAACACTGTACACTAATTTAGTTATAAAAGGCAGTTTAACTAAAATATCCAACTTATGTCGGTGAATATTTTTTAGTCTATAGCGACGGCAAAGTATTCTGTTACTAATTAAGGTTTATAGTAGGTTTATTTTAAAGTGGAATATTTTCGTTATTATTAAATGCTTTTCTTTAAAAGTTTAGATGCGCAGGTTTCTAGGTCGTTTAGTTAGGGTAAAGTTTGCCATTACAGCTGACGGGACAACTTTTTTAAAAATGTTATATAAAATAAGTGCTGGAGTGAGTTATTTAGATGCTAGATATAAAAATACTTTAAAAATGTAAAAAAATTATCCAGTATGTACTCATTACATAAAATTTAGACATAGGCAGCTTAAATATGTATTTATGTACAAGTGTAAATCGTTGTAAACTTAGTTGGTAGTTTCATAGATTAAGATACAGTGCCTTTTAATCATATTTTAGGTACATAAGTTGTCACTTAGGGCTCTCCTTTAGTGGATGAAGTTTTTTTTTTTATAAACCTTATTAATCTGTGGTGTTTTGACATTTATCAATTCAGATGGGTCAATTTAGACTAAAAACCTCAAATTTAATAACTATATTCATTTCTGTATATATAATTGATGTATGTATATAATTTGCTGATAAACTGTCAACTGTCAAATGTTTTTGAAAATGGTCTAAGTTGAACCACCCGTATTTAATCTATTTATGACTACTCCACTTGGTGGAGCGTCAGTAGTTAGTCGACCATGGTACAATAATATAGGGTGTATGTCGCTGAATTATTGTACCATGAGGATACCGATCTCAAGAATTCTCTTCGCATGGTATGTTGTGGTCAAATCTGTGTGTTTGAATGTTAAAAATTTATAAACATTGTCATTGGTAGATATTTTGTAAGGCGTTTCGATGTTTTTAATAAATAAAATTGTAATCGGATTAGAATTTAAGTTCCGTAATATGTATAAATCATTTCCGACCAAAAATTGTTGATTTGTCATTTTTGTTTGTAGATTTGACCAAAGTTTGAATGGGAGCTGTGAATTATGTTGTATATTGGCCTTAATTATTAATGTATCAATAAATGCTTGTTTCATTATTTATGTCTTTCACTAAGGGTGAGATCTATAGAGCGCACTTAGACTTTGCTCTGACTTAACTATCGAGTTAAGACACAGTCGGTATTTATAGAGCAAACTGCGAATCTCTCCGAGTGTTGGCTTAGCTTAATCTCAAGTCCACGAAATCGACGACTTACCAAAAACTTTGACTATAAGCCTAACAAAAATAATGGCCCAAAATTTGCTTTACCATCATATCTTTTACTGGACTTTTTATTTTTGTCGGTTTTTAATGAACGGTGTTGCCATTTTATATCGGAGTTCCAGAGACTTTAGGAAAAATAGAATTTGAATTCAAAGAAATGATAAATGATCTTGATAAATACCTATGAAATACATGAAATGAAATAATTACACATTATTATGGTATTTATTGTTGTTTATTTATATTATTT